CTGCCGTGTTTGTTACTATTACGTGTAAAAATGGTGTATTTTTATGAAAAAACTGCTTGCATAATTAATTTTTAAAATTAGATTTTTCGCTTTCTGAAAAGAAAAAAATGTTGCCGTTGGTCTAAATGGTCTAAATATTATGATGTCAGATTTTCACTATCATTTCTAGTTTACGACATCTAAACGGGACGGACGGACTGACAGACCACAAAAAACGATTAGCTTCTTTTTCCTTTTCGGGGGCCTCTAAAAAACAAAAAAAAAATTGCGTCTATCTAGTTGTATATTGTACACAGCAAAAGGAGAGTTACTGTAGAAATGAGAAATGTGTCAAGTGCCATTTTAATAGTCTATGGTTTTAGGACGTTGATGTATTTCAATAGCCCCAAAACATGCCAGGATTATGTTGATATTCAACTCTGACAGGGACATTCTTTTTTTTTTCAAATATAATGTTCCTTGTTTAAACATGTTTTCCATCATTAATGTGTTTGTATATAATCCTGTAGTTTAACGTCCCATTTAGGCCTACTCTTCAAATTAAAATTAATTACTTATTAATATACCATTGCATAGTGAAGAATCAAGCAATGTTTTACTAATCTTTGTAAAGAGATTAACAACGACTGCCTTCAGGACCTAAATTCTTCCGAAGTGACTTTGCAAAAAAAAACAAAAAAAAAAAACAACAAAAAAACTAATATTTATCATAATGCTTTATAACTTACCTAATATTAAAACTTCAGCGTTTCATGAGGTAGGTCCTCGTAGCTGGGGACGCTCACGCAGGATTGACAACACTCTTTAATAGTTTGATATCGAGTGAAAGTGTTGCAAACTAGAGACGTAGGTCTGCATTTTCAGCTGGGTTTAAATTTCTTGAGCCATTTTATTTTACTACAGTAGGTACTCATTGGAGACGTGGTGGCTGAGCCGTAAAGCATTTGGCTTTTCGAACCAGAGGTTCCGGGTTCAAATCCTGGTGAAGACTGGGATTTTTAATTTCGGGATCATTGGGCTCTAATGAGTACCTGACATTAGTTGGTGAACAGTAAAGGCCGTTGGTCGTTGTGCTGGCCACATGACACCTTCGTTAACTGTTAGCCACAGAAACAATGACCTTTACATCATTTGCCCTATAGATCACAAGGTCTGAAAGTGCAGCCTCTGCTTTCTCAACACATCGGGCGTAATAGGGTATTGACTAGTAAATATTTAGTCACTTTTCTTGGTTACGTGAATCGCGAATATGAACAAATATTTCATTTTGGTTAACATCAAAATGTTTTGTATTCTTCTCGTCCTAAGTTGACACCATATTCTAAGGTTTGGCACGCACATTACAAGACTGACTGGATACACTGGATAACAATATCCACAAGACTTAACCTCACATTAAGGGACTTTCAATGTGACGATATTGGAGCATATAAGTGCGTATCAGCAGTGGAGACTGACACAGATTTGTATGAGAATACAACTCTCATTGGTAAATGAATTTTTATCTTTACTTTACATATTAAATTTTAGTACGTAAATTAATTATTGTCAGTCTTAAATGGCTGTACCTTCTTCGCCTCACCTTTACCTATCTCTTAGTCTGTTGGACCGTTTGGGCACCACCCAAGATTAGACGACCGACTTTCTCCATTCCTCACTGTCTTTTGTACGTTACAAATGTTTGAATTGTGAGACTTTCGGAGGGCCAGGGCTACTCAAAGGAAGGGCAACAAATCGACACAGTTTGGAATCAGCAGCAAAGCAACAGTGTGTTCATGAGAATGTATACATTTTAGCGCTATCAGGGCAGAGTTCTTACAATTTCTTGTGTTTAAGGCTGCCCCAAAGGGAGACTACAATGAATTTCGTTTCTCATTAGCGAATCTCTACCCTGGCAGTGTTAGAGAAGATCCTCGTTGCCTGTCAAAGGGCGGTACTGCTGCAGACCTACCACATCATCAGAAAATAAATTCCTCAGTGGAAACTGATAAAGGGACTACGATGAATTTTGTTTCTCTTTAGAGAAACTCGACCCTGGCAGCGCCAGAGAATGACTACTCGTTCATTTCTAACATAATAATAATAATAATAATAATAATAATAATAATAATAATAATAATCTAAGATTGGAGATAAAGCGTTTGCGAAAGTTATCTAAAATAACAATATACCCAATTGTTATATCAACCGAGGGGAATAACAACTGATCTCACGGATACATTCAAGGTCATTAACATTCCTACTAAAATTCTCGTTGCCTGTCAGACGGCGGTACTGCTGCAGACCTGCCACATCACCAGAAAATTCCTCGGGGGAAACTGATAAAGGGACTACGATGAATTTTGTATCCCTTTAGCGAAACTCGACCCTGGCAGTACCAGAGAATGAATACTCATTCATTTCTAACATAATAATATTAATAATAATAAAGAGGACTGCCGAAGATAAAGCGTGAGTACAGTATTTTCACGTGACATTGCAGTCCTAGCCTGGACCTACATATTTTTCTGCCCCAACCGATGCAATCAAAACTATTGTCTTACGCTATTCTCCATCTACGTCCATGTCAAGCATAGCTTTTCATTCAGTCTTGCATGCGTGACCCTCGGTCTTTGTAATATTTCTTTCGCTGTCTCTTTCGGAAGCAATGTTCGCCATTTGTTCCTAGCAGGCGAGTTAAGCGTAATCTGTAAACAGATATAGATAATCATGACCATTTCTTTAAGCCACGAATTGAGAACTTAAAAGCAATGCATTCAAGTAAGGTCAGAATGAATAAATAATAACCTTTATATTGCATTTATATAGCGCAACTTCTTTCATATATTACATTCTCTTCTATATCGATTCTATTCCAGCTCCTGTAACTGTTGATTTAAGTTTCGCCCCGCACAAAGGAAAAGACCAGCTCGCATCAACCAATGAGGCAAAGGAAGATGTTTCATTAACCTGCGCTATTAAAGTGAGTCACATTTTTTTTTTTTGCACAGGCCGGTTTAGTAAGAAAAAAAGTTTAGAAGGAAGGGACAATGAGAGAAAGCGTTCTTCTCTCCTTCTTTGACTTCAGGGCCGGCCTTAGGCATAGGCAAACTTGGCAGCTGCCTAGTTTCACAACGGTTGAAAGCGGACCTAGCACAGGACTAACAAATCAACAAATGCAGTGAAAACATTTTGAAAAGTTTCGAGACCTTGCTTCCATTAAAGCACAAGTTTATTTTTATTGAAATGTTTATTACATCGGCAAGGCTGCTGTAACGCTACGGAAATTGCGCTATATGAATTTCAGTTTTTTTTTTCTTAGATATTGAAACAGGCAGGTTTTTAATAAATTGCGTAATTTTATTTTTTCGGTGTTAATTTTTTTTTTACATTTTTTTATTTTATAAGGGGCCACCAAATATACTTTTCCTAGAGCCTCTAATTTCCTTAGACCTACCCTATTGGATTGTTTGTAGCATTGATTAATTATTAAGTACTATTCCCTGACTGGATCACAGATAGAAATATGATGATGATATTGAAAAATTAAAGTATTAGTTTTAGCAACATTTTGAATTTTTAACATTATACATGTATAGATTTACTTAAAATATAGTGTTTATCTGTGACCATGTCTTAGTATGGCTGTTCGATATTATAGTGTTAAGCAGTTACATTTACTTTACTAACTTTATGAACTTATATGTTACCAGGGACCATCGAACATAAAAATCGTTTGGAAATTCGCTACAGTCTCGTCGGATGAAAATATTTATTCCGAGCATGATGTTACATTTTACCCAGCAACACAATCAAATAGTACATCAGGATGCGCCACTATGTCCTATATTTCTGTACTACGAAGAACTCTACAGAAATCCGATAACGGAACCAACTATTACTGCTGCGTCACGGGCGATAAAGACAGGGAACTAGCGAGAAAACAATTCACTGTTTGGATTCAAGATTCGCACAGCCACAACACTGGAGTGAAGGTCTCAAGTATGAGACAGAGTTTAGCAGTGCTCCTCTTTATTTATCTCTTAAAAACATTTTATCTGACTAACTAATGACTCTGTTGGTGATTATTTGAAGAATTATTGCGTTGAAAGAAATTTAACATATGAGCCTATGGTAAATTAAAAACATTAATAAATGTTTAATGACCTTTCATTCCAAAAAAAATTAATTAAACTGTTAGCAGAAATGTCTTACATATTGCAGATATTTTATATAGATTGTACATTTAAAATTTTATTCTTTCAACTTTGAACTAGGAATATTACTTTAAAATTTCGTTTCTGTATGGAGAAAAAATAGATTCATTGAAAATAGTTTTTATATTAACAAGTAGAAGGTCCTGAACGATGAAAGAAATAGTCAACAAAACAATGTGTACCATGTTACAACAAAACAATGTGTACCATGTTACAACAAAACAATGTGTACCATGTTACAACAAAACAATGTGTACCATGTTACAACAAAACAATGTGTACCATGTTACAACAAAACAATGTGTACCATGTTACAACAAAACAATGTGTACCATGTTACAACAAAACAATGTGTACCATGTTACAACAAAACAATGTGTACCATGTTACAACAAAACAATGTGTTCCATGTTACAACAAAACAATGTGTACCATGTTACAACAAAACAATGTGTACCATGTTACAACAAAACAATGTGTACCATGTTACAACAAAACAATGTGTACCATGTTACAACAAAACAATGTGTACCATGTTACAACAAAACAATGTGTACCATGTTACAACAAAACAATGTGTACCATGTTACAACAAAACAATGTGTACAATGTTACAACAAAACAATGTGTACAATGTTACAACAAAACAATGTGTACAATGTTACAACAAAACAATGTGTACAATGTTACAACAAAACAATGTGTACAATGTTACAACAAAACAATGTGTACAATTTTACAACAAAACAATGTGTACAATGTTACAACAAAACAATGTGTACAATGTTACAACAATAAGAAGACCAAAACACCCCCCCCCCCCCCAATAAGTATTTAGAAAAAACGCTTTAAAGATGGTTTCATAGTTATATGACACATGTACTGGACTGTCCTATGAATGATACTGGGTTTAGTGTTCCGTGAGGTCTGACTAGGTGTTCCACGAACTATTGGAATAATAAGCTAGTAGACCACCACGCGAATTAATCTCTCTAAAAAAAAAAAGCAAAATGTTCTGCTAAATACTAGAACGTGCGAAGTGTTAGTTAGAGAAAAAGGTTTGGGAACCACTGCTCTAGACGTACGAGAGTAAAGAGTGTTTTGCAGGGTATTGTATCCTAGATACTATAGAAACATCAGAGTAAGAAGTGTCCATTAGGGCATTGTGACATGTTGTCTATTTTTCCAAGGCATCCCCGCTGAAACCGTGTTCATTCTTTTGTACGTCATTCGTGATTTCTAAAAAGACTTGAAGCCAAATTTAATTTTTGGAAGATTGAACAAAAAAAAAAATGTAATGGTCAAACCAGTCTTTTCACTGAGTGGCTCATAGGCTAGTATTTTTTCCCCAAAAGATAAACTGTCGGATTTCTAGGAATATCGTTACAGACATTTTCGAATTACTCGTCCTTTTCCCACCCACCCTTGCAGCCACACAGGAACAAACTCGACAGATTTGAAATAAATAAACCCTTTCTGCTTACTATGAGCATCTCCCATTACAGGGTATATAACTGAGTTCATCCTGCATGACAAATAAAATTAATGAATTATGTTCCTTAGCTTTGCTTATACTAACTATCATTTTAATAAACTTGCCAAACTTGGATGGAATTTGTTGTTTGTTTTTAATGTCAACACAACTTGAAGTGAATTACAACCTCATTAAAAGATGAAAAAGTGTCTCACATCTTATCTCACCTGGCCCTTGAGTTTCGTCGTAGGGGTGCTGTAACAGTTTGCGTAAGCAAATCCTTCCACTTATCAGCAGCTGTTCTTAGAAGGAGAGCCATAGAGGTTGGTTCATTTACGTTGTCCAGCCAGCTTCTCATCGGCCAACCCTTTTCTTCGTGCTCTCGCCATTGTACCTTGAAGAATGACTTTTGATAGTGGTTCATAAACCAGCTCAGTTTTCGTCTCCACAGTATTATTATTATTATTATTGTATTATTATAGCTTTTATATAGCGCTACTTTCATGCTTATAGCATGCCTAGAGCGCTTTTGGTCCAATCTCATTTGTGGACCAGTGGGGGGGGGGGGGGAGGAGGGGGTATCTAGGAGTTGGTTTTCCGTTCTGCCTTTAGGCGCTCAGTAAACACAACTCTGCCCGAGTCGTGAGGAGTTCCTCCTTTTTACCATCTAGAGTGTTAGCTTGTAAATGTCTAGCTAGTAGAATGACAAAGCGACTTGTGATTTCACGATTTGTTTAAAAAATTTTGAATTAGAAGCTTTTAGATTTACTTACAAGAAAAGAACGTCATTCTGTAATTACAAAACTTAACATCAAAAACTCTTTAAAATAAAAACAAAATTAAAAATTAAAAACAAATAATTTTATAATTATAATATCTTTAAAAAAAAAACAATGTAGGGGGTAAAATGTTTTGTTTTACATGTTTCGGAAGTTTCTTCAGAGTTGAAAATAGTTTACTTCCCAGTCCAAACCTCCCGCAGGACGACGGGGGATGGGAGCGGGCAGGATTTGAACCCTCGACAAATCCGAAAGACAGTCCAGCGCACAAACCGCACGACCAGGCAGCCATTGGGTTTTCACACAAAAAATACATTTGTTAACAATATATCAATTAAAGATTGAAAATCGATGTTTCTATCAAACGAGCATAGAAAATTCATTTATCGTATACCATCTATACCATCTATAGAGAAAAATAAAGAATTTAATTAATGGCTGATCAAGACTTTCTTTATTTCTACACTGTACACCGGGTACGCCAAATAACTAGCTATTTATAGTGTAGTAAATCAACGACAGGAGGTAATTTATAGACAAATGTATTTATTTATTTACAGTTATAAAATACACAGTCATGCACTTCAGCTATCAAGTCATAGGGAGTCTTGATTAAGTCCTTTTCTATCTAAACATTAGTTCAGACCACCGACACACTTTCCCCAGTATTGCTCCAGTTCCTCAATACAGCTCACAGGTAGCACAAAGGACGGCTCTTAGTACCATAGAGCTCCGACTCCCATAACCTGCAGATCACTCGTCTGGATCTACAACAGTCCAACCTCGACTAGAATATATCGTCCATTCCTCGTGTTGAACGGTGTGCTGGTGTGCAGTATCGGCTATCCGCTTAGACATAGACGAAGCTCTCTTATAGCAAGTGTAAACAAATGGTCTATTGTTTACTTTTCCATCAACAAGACCCAACACACTTTTGTTTCTATGTATATCAACAAAGTCGTGTGTTAGCGCCTCTCTTCTATCCAAATGTTTTAATGACAAACAAAAAAAAAAACAACAAACAACAAATGTAGTAGACTTATATAAAATATATGATGCATTAGTATTTAAACGCTTTACGCGCTTAATTTAGAAATCGAAAGCGTAAGGTAGGTAACTGAGTTCTTCGGAAATACAAAAGAAATTTGACAAATTATATCCCTTGACAATAGTCATAAGGAAACATCGTTCACTTGATCACTAAAACTTGAAACAAAAATTGTTCTTGCATTTAGACATTTTAAGAACACAATTGGACTTAAGACAAATCTTTGGCTAGTGAAATAAAGTGGCATGGGATTATATAATTTGTAATCCTGTTGTTTTTTTTGTTTTATTTAGAAATATAAGTATATGTATAAACTTATAGCAAAACATGTTCAAAATGTCAAAGCCTGGATTGGAACTTGAAACCACTCTAATACGATTTTAAATAAGGAAAACACAAACTCAAAATCAACTCCCGAAGTGTTCCACTTAAGCAGATAAAACGGCAGGTTTCAAAATGAATAGAATAAGGTATTGCCAACAAACTATCAACAACCACAAATCTATTTCAACCAATACAAAAAGAAAAGATGCTTAAGTTTCATAAGTGTCACAGTGGTTATCACAGTGTCAGGGCGATAGACGAAATACATGATGCAATATGATGCGGAGATTAATTAATGGTTAATATTCATATGTATTCAATAAAATGAGTTTTGAAGACATGGCTCAATATGAACGCGGCGTAACTGAAGTCATTGAATGATAATCTAGTAATTTCTAGTTGATAGTTTTGTCAAGGCCAATCTATCTTTCAAGACCTCAATTAAGAAGCTTTCCATTTGGTTGCATGTTGAAGTGAGTATGATATGAATACATTATGCCTCATTTAAAGAAAGTATTGCTTATTGAAAGTTGATTCAAAGTATATCCCCTCTTCTAGAGCTACTCAATGGATTTGGTTCTCTTTGAAAAAAAGAAACATATTTTATTTGATCTGTAAGTAGCTTACATCACATACAACATTTCAATAAATAACACAAGTATTTTTGTTTGTAACATACGTTATAGAAATAAACAAAAACTGCATATGTGTTTTAAGAACATACAGAAATGACACTACCATTATTCATATAGTCTCCCCACTTTGCTTCTTTACTATCTATAGTAGATAGTTGTAAAAAAATAGTGCGTATTTACGAACACACTTCTTGCTTAGTTACTTTAAGCTTCAAATTTTAAGCATCAAATTTTTGTTTTGAAAAAAGGTATCCGTAGAATCAGAACTTTAAAAGATTTTAAAATATCTTTTTTTTTTTTTCGCGTTCTAAACAGGACGGACGGACAGTCGGAGGAACAGACAGATCACACAAAACTAATGTAGGCTGATTCTCTTTAGAGTGGCTGCTAGAAAATGAAACTTTTTTTTTGTCGTTTTCACTCACATTTTACTTTTAGTTTTATAATTAGCTTTCATTATGTTTATGTTAGGTTAATTGTTTTTGCAGAAACGGCCATAGTTTCTCATATAGTTAACGACAACTTCACCAATGCAAGCTAAACTCAAGAGAACTCTACACCAGAATGAATAAAAGAAATGTCACAATTTAGCTGATAAAGAGAAAAGAAAGTGCTTTGTAGGCATATTGTAAGTAACATATTTATCTGAGTGGTATCGGGTAAAACGTGACCTTTAACCTTTATCCTTGATAATTTCACTGAAAGCACATCATTTGAACACGTCAACGCCTCTCATTGATTGATTTGCTGTGTGTATGTGTTTGCGCATATTATCTGTGTGCGTGCTCATTTTAAGCGCATAGTCAAATTTCGTTGGTACTGAATTTCCATTTGTCCGATCGTTAGCCATCTGTGCCAGGGAAAACAAAAGGATGAATCAAGAAAAAAAAGACCAAACATTGACTTGAGTTTAGGAGCTGAAAGTAAAACTACAACCTCATACCGGATGTTAATGTTATTTATTATTGTTATACTGATCATTATCATATAAACCATTGTAAGCAAAGGAAATAAAGTGAGGATTTTATTGTAAGGTTAGGGCAAAGGGGAACAGAATCGTCTGAAAGAGAAATGTTTTATGATTAACAATCAATAAAAAATAAGCAATCATAAAAGTTTTGTTTTATTTAAACATGTAAATAAATAGAGACAGGTGTACAGATAAGAAGAGATACAGAGAAACAGAATTATAGACAGAAAGAAACAGACAAATAATGACAGAAATATAAGCAGAGACACATAAATATAGATTGAAAGAAAGAGAGACAGAGATAAAGAGAGACAAAAATGTAGACAAGGAAAAACTGTCAGAAATATAGACAGAGACACAGGTCGACAGAAGTATAGTCAGAGAAACAGAAATATAGACAGAAAGAAAGAAATAGAGACGAATAGAATGAAATAAAGAAAGAAAGAAAGAAATAGAGACAAATAGAATGAAATAAAGAAAGAAAGAAAGAAATAGAGACAAATAGAATGAAATAAAGAAAGAAAGAAATAGACAGAGACAGAAAATGACATAGATATAGACAGAAATATAAACAAATCTAAACAGAACTATAGGCAGAAAAAGAAACTGGAAAGGGACCAAATAGAAATAGAGAGAAAAACAAAAGTGACTGAGATTGAAAATGGAAAGTGAGAAAGAAAACGTATCCATGGGTCGAAGTCAGAGAGAAAAGAGAAAGAAAACGTATCCATGGGTCGAAGTCAGAGAGAAAAGAGAAAGAAAACGTATCCATGGGTCAAAGTCCGAGAGAAAAGAGAAAGAAAATCAAACAGAATTAACAAAAGAAAGAATTAGATGCGTTTGATTTAGAGACAGAGAGAAACTAATACTTGTATTGGTTTGCCTTTAGATTAGAATGTTCTTGCGATAAATTTGCAGGCCAACAAGATGATCAAATCGGTGATAAAGAGAATGTGTAATGAGCTCTATCGACTTTGTACTACTGATGGACCTGTATCTATTCAATTTTTCATCCAAGACGCAACTATTTGTTTGAGTAAGCCCTATCTTGTGGTAATCAACCTGAAACCTTTGTAAAACTCCATGCAGCCGGGACGGCTTAGGCAAGACCATGTTTATGAAATAGGCGTTTATTTCATTTTATTACAAAGCTTATATCAACTCGCTCTGTCTGTCTGTCTGTCTGGTATAAGGTGTGTGAGCATAATTTATCCCACATCAATTCTCAGATCAATTTGAAACTTCGCACAATTATTCATTGACATAGGCAAGGCATGAATCAATAAACAAATAACCAATTAGACTATTAATTATTGGTAGTTAATTATTCTGTTTAATAGCAACAAGGGAAACTAATACTTCAGTATTCACAGATATG